CCTCGGCTTGTCTCTCCCGACGACGACGACGTCGTGCCGCGTCGCGTCGCGCCGCGCCACGCCGACGGTGGTCACTCGATGTGCATGTGTGCTGTGTGCCGGGCGGTGCGCGAAACGTAACGCACGCGTAACGCAGGGTGGTGTGATGTCGACGGGCGCGTATTAACGCAACGATGCTCCCGCGATTCCGGAAGGTGCGAGGAAAGTGAATCCCCCGGGGGCGAGGAGGAGATAGACCGGGTAGATGCGTGGATCCCGACACGACGCATTTACGCGCGCACGCACGTAGTAGCCGCGCACGACATCACGCATTTACGCATCGCACAGCACGTACGTACGTACGTACGTACGTACATACGTACGTACGCACGCGTTACGCACCCCTGGGACAACGATGCTGTTGTCAGGAGGGAATCGCCGACGGCATCCTTGAACGTTCGTCGGAGCGCTCTGTCTCGAGTCTGGGGCCAGCGACGGAACGTAAGGGTTCTGATCGATGTTATTCGATTGGATTTATCACCGAGATTTTTTTTCTATATTCTTGCATGGAAATCTCTTCGGTTTTTTCACAATTAGTATATATTCGTGTACCGAATCTTAGGATTTGTGTCATTATGTCAGATCATGTTAAGATCGCTAAACATAAACAGTCAGTTGTTTAGAGAGAGGTAGGAGAGAGATCTTCCTGAAATTAATAAAGTTTAATAAAATAGATAGAAATAGGATAAAATTTGGAAATGTTATTCGAGGGATAATGTTAAAATATATTATTTATATTTATGCTATTTCACGTGTATACGTAAATCGTAATTAGCCAGAACAATAAGTCATTACTACTATATTTGTATAGATTTTCTATAGATTTAATTGGCATTGTTAATTGTTAAAAAAGAATCAAGGTTATGAAGCTCGTTATCTATTCTTGGACGAGTAAAATTAATTTGTTCAAATAAATTTTTGATAAATGTTATCTCTTATCGCAATAATCGAAGATCGCGGAATATTATGTTAATATAGTATTAACATATTATCATTCCAAATTTATAATTAAATCTATACACGAAAAGAACAGTTTTGTTGAGAAATATTTACAAATATTTACAAATTTAGCTAAATACAGATCTGAAAATGATTTTGCTAAATCATCAAAATAATTATGTAGGGCGTTTAAACATGATAATAATACTGTAAAATTTCTAGCAACTAATTTAAACGGTCAACATAATTATTGGACTATTTTAATGATTCAACAAAATTATACTTGGATCTGTATTTGGCTAATTTTAGATATTTCAGCAAAATCGCGTCTCTTTTCGTATATAAATATATAATTTATAATTTTAAAAGTCTTATTTACTATTTTTTGTTTTTTCTGAAAAATTCCATTAATATCTCACCAATATATTTAATGGAGAATGTAATAATGGAGAAATGTCCTTTGAAAACTATATTCTTTTTCAGTTCGCAATTTCTTGCGTATGCAAAATATAAAGAAAATATAATAGTTTCATGCCAATTATATTAGAAATTAAAAAAAAAACTGCGTGTATATATGAAAAAATAATCAATCAAAACAGTATTCAATTTAAAATAATTTTAATTAATTCAATAATAATATTAATGAATACATATATATATATATATATATATATATACAATAAATAGAATATTA